TTCAGAATTTCAGATATGTTTGAAGTAAAACTTGAATGTTTTGTGGTACCTATGCACTTGAGGAGTCATATGATCAATTCCGGAAACCGCATGCGGCTATGACATGTTGTGACCCGTGGTGTTTACTATTGCTAAGTGAATCTAATTGAACGATCCCAAGGGAAAGCATCAATGCGTTCTGAACTTCAGGTAGTGAAAATGGAGATTGGACCGCTGTAAAATGGGAAAGTCATTCTTGCCTTATTATATTACCTTCAAGCAGTTAAACATCGGATAGTAGAGGTTCACTTGGGGGCTGATTCCAAACATGTGATGGCTTTGATGGTGACTCCCAAGTTTCAGAACCGGCAAGTATTTCACATTTCACCCATTTTCACCCCAGAAATGGGTGATTTAAAACAAAAACACGGTTAAAAAAAAACGCATAAAACAAATCGGTAAGTTGAAAAAAATCACCCCATAAATGGGTGATCCCATTTTTTTCCACCAACGTTTGGCAGATCCAAAAAGTTTCAACGCTGCACAGCTGGACCTCAGGCGCAGTTATTGGGTTCCTGCTCCCCTGGTGCCTCCCCCCAGTCCTCCTTTGCCGCTGGCCTCGGTTTCAGTCGCCAACACAGGTTTCAAAGTTGGGGAAAGAATTGGGGGGGCTCCAAATGTAATTATAGTGTATGTAGATCGATGTATAAAATATAATAATATAGTATAGGTACATCTGGAACATCATATAGTACTCGTGTACTAAAATATATCATCTATGAAGCCAGCATTTTTGGAAACTTTTATATAGTATCCATAGGTATATCTTATGTCAGTTTGAAAGGTTTCAAATGACAAGTTGTTTTTTTCCTACAATCAAACATGGTATAGTACCTATATATAAAGATAGTACCTATATACATCAAGTCATGGATGGCTATGAGCAGCTGCTAGTTAGCTCTGTCGGTTGATGATCATGGTTTTGAACACTCCTGGCTTGGTACCGAAATGGAGGTCATATGCCATAAACCTACCAAAACTTGGGGATGGTTTCTGCAGTTTCAATCCCACAGAATTATAGTTATACCATTATACCCCACATCCATTGGTTAAATGTTTAATCCTCCGGTTTATGGTTGAGTCCTCATTTTCTCCATGAAGATGCAATTTTAGGGCATATGCGGCATATCCACATGAAAAATGACATACCCTCTGGTAATGACTAACATAGCTATTGAAAATGGTGATTTACAGCTGACTTATCCATTGAACATGGTGATTTTCCATAGTTTTTTGTAGGTTTACCAGAGGGTACCCTCTTAGACGAGAAGAGCAGCTTTTGGTTCTAGGTATATTCCCATTAAATCACATTAAACCACCATTAAACCACCATTAAACCACCATTAAACCACCATTAAACCACCATTTATAGTATCTTTTGCTTCTACAAACGCCGGCAAGTGTCAGTCGTTACCGTTCTTCTTTCACACTTAGAAGGTGCGCCAAGTCCCAATTTTTGAAGTTGGTCGATAAACACCATGAACGGAAATAACTATAGTAGATATAACTATAGTACTAAATATGGTGATGGTTACTATATGTTATAGTTAATATCTACTATATGTTAACTATAGTCCATAATTATGATAACTATAGTCCATAGTTAATGGTGATTATAATGGTTTATGGTACTAAATATGGTTACTATATACTTAACTATATATGGTTACGATATGTTACTATATATGGTAAATAAATTGACATAAACCCTACAAATGACCAATTTTTTACTGGAAACTTATCTATCTTATCTTCCAACCCCGATGACTGGCAGGGTCTATATGTTCATTTACTGGATGGTATGTACCATAAACATCCATAAACCCCTAGTTAATGGAGTATATCGGAGTTATAAACAAACTTTGCTATCTAGGGGGGCCCAGATGGCAACTTCCTTGCCCGTAAAATGGCTGGTTGAAGACGTTCCCCGTAGGCATCGCCAGTCGTTCTAACATCCTTATTATTTGGCTCGGATTTTACCGACCAGTTACACCACTTTTGGCTCAACATCAACCATGAAAATAGATCACGGTTGATGTTTTTTCCTTTTTTTCAGATTTCTCCCGGTTGCATTTTCTTATCTTTCTCAGCCATTTTTCCCACAATTTTTCCCAGGGGTGTTCCAACTATATAGGTCAATTTTAGCCACAAGGGTGGTAAATTGATCATTTACCTCTATATTTAAAACCTTTTTTTTGTATCAATTTACCAGCTATTTTGATCTATTTTGGGGTTCACTAGGTACATCTAGGATTTTACCAGCTATTTTTTTTGCTTTCACTAGGTACATCTAGGTACCTATGGCTGGTTGGTGGTTTGGAACATTTTATATTTTCCATAAATATATGGGATGTCATCCTTCCCATTGACGAACTCATATTTTTCAAGATGGTTATTGCACCACCAACCAGATGGGTTTGGACCCAGAGCCATACCCAAGTGACTCGTCTCGCAAGGTCCCCCAGTCCCATCAGCTTCCGAAGCCTACGCTGTGCAGATGCCACCGTGGGCGTTGCTGGGGCCGGGGGCCTGGAGTTTGGATTGGGATATGTTATTTTGGGAGATCTCTAAAAATCAATGGGAATTTCAGTCAATGGCCATTTCAGGAACCTAAATTGGAGGTACCCTCTGGTAAACTAACAGTTTGCGAACTGGAAAGATCCACCATGCTATTAATGGGAAAATCCACTATTTCTATGGTCATTTTCAATAGCTATGTTAAATTACCAGAGGGTAGATCTCTAGAAATCAATGGGAATTTCAGGATCCTAAAATGGAGGTACGTTAGTACTATATTTTTGGCCATATTTTGTGGGGAGATTCCCTGAAGGCCTTACATAGGCCTTATATATGGCAGGTACCTCTAAATTAGGTTCCTGAAATGGCCATTGATAAAATGGAGGTTTCCAAGCTGGGAAAATCATCGAAAATGGGGGTTTTTCCAGCAAGCCACGTTTGATTTGTATGTTTACTGGAGGGTACCCTCTGGTAAACTAACAGTTTGCGAACTGGAAAATCACAATCTTTAATAGGTAAATCAACGAACTGAATGGGGCCATGGCTTCAATAGCAAACTGTTAAATTACCAGGATGAAAGTAGTATCTGGGATAACCAAGACTCTTTGGGATCAACGTAGTTTATAACGGATATATTTTTGTAAACATGTTTTTTTGATCTTTTTGATACTGTGTGGTGAAATTGGGGTAACTAAAACTTTTAGATTTTATATCAGATGGGACTTGTCATGGATACGGCCAACTATGGCATAAAATGGCGTAATTACCCACCAAGTGCTAGTAATCACCACTAATTAGCCACCAATGGGACTATGATTAACCTGTAGGAGTTTTGACACCATCATCCAGCAATTACAGTAACCACCTTGGTAACGGTTTGTAACTTGTGTATATCCAAATGCATCCCCGTTACAAGGGAATATATCCCACTTCCTAACCAGCTTGCTTGAGATGATAAAATATTGTAACCCAGTTAGAAAAATTGCATATCCCCACGTATTTATATGGGTAATCTATGGCTTACCCATTGGCAATTTAACAGTTTGTATGAAAATGGATGAACGTTGCCCATTTATAGATCATATACCTATAAGAAATTGCGAGTTTCTATATAGCTATGTCACAGTACCAGAGGGTATAGTCCCATTGATAGTGGTTGATTGCGTGAATCTCCCAGTTTTTCTATTTACCACCATTTTTCCCAACAAACTCCCAACAAAATCGTAACTCCCAATATGGGACTTTCCTGAAATGGTCAATGGGAATTCCAGGATCCCAAAATGGAGATACTGTACCATATAAGGCCATATTTTTTGCGGAGATTTCCTGAAATTTAGGCCTTACATAGGCCTTATATATGGTAGGACCTCCAATCTAGATCCAGAAATGGCCATTGATAAAATGGAGGTTTCCCAGTTTTTCTATTTACCACCATTTTGTCCCAACAAACTCCCAACCAAATCTTAACTCCCAATATGGGGGTTTCCTGAAATGGTCAATGGGAATTATATATGTTAGGTACCTCTAATTTAGGTTCCTTACATAGGCCTTACATAGGGTTTATATATGGTAGGTACCTCTAATTTAGGTTCCTGAAATGGCCATTGAAATGGGGTTCTCCCAAAAAAATCATCCAAGTCATCATGAATGACCGCAGGCGCCATGCATGCGGCTCTACTCGCAGCCGAGCCTACCGTCCACGCCCGTGAAGGTTCTCCGGCAGGCGCAAGTCTGGTTTGAGACAGACATATGTTATACATATACACAAATATATGATATAGAATCATATGGATATTAGTCACGTATAATATGAATTACAGTAATTTGATTAATTAGCACATATATATATATATGTATATGTATATGACACATTTCATTTTTTTAAGACGAGACTAGTTCTAGATGCGTCCTATGTGTATCATTAGTATTATATATGTATGTATATATGTATAAAATTTATACACAATTATATCGACCCACACGCATATATATATATATCGCATAATGATGTGAATGTGATCTGAATGATGGACCAACTTCGGGCAGGTCTCAGTGCCGGTCTTTTCGACGAATTCTTTTCCACGGACGCCTCGTACCTGGACCTCGCGCCAGGGTTTTCTATGGGGCACCATGGGGGCACCATGGTGAACTAAAATGTTACCCTCTGATAATTTAGCAGTTTGCTATTGAAAATGACCATTGAAATAGTGGATTTTCCCATTAAACATGGTGATTTTCCATAGTTATATATGTAAACGTTTACCAGAGGGTAAAGGACATCACAATTATTCAGGTGAAAGATTATGATAACTTAAAATCCTCATGTATCATGTTTTTTTCGATCCTTTATCCAGATGATCTATGATTTGGTGCTTGAATCATGTGAACTTTTTCCGGTCCTCGTCTTTTGAGGCGAATTTGGAGACTTCCACCCTCCACAGCGCAGTAGCGTGCCATGTTCGGGGACCGCTGAGAGTCCCAGAAACACGGTGCCTTGGCCTGCCGAGCGGCGAGGATGTCCGGGAGAGATGGACCTCAGGTGAAAATCGGCATTTTTTTCATAATCAAATCATGATTTTATCATGGGAAAATATGTGTTATTTTTTTTTAATTAAATGGGAAAAACCTGATTTTGCCATAATTTTTATAAGCTAATTCTAACACCAGACCTTTTTATCCTTTTTCAAGAGCTATGTTAACTTAAGCCAGGGGATACCCATCGTCAGGGATTGGGTATGTTTTTTTAAAAGATTTCGGAGGGTTTATTGCTGGTGGATTGGTGGACGTAGATTCTATAGATCTTCCATTTGAAGATTGGCCTTGGAACTTTGATTTGCTCTGAGCTTCCGGATATGCATAGCTGTTAAAAACGCAGCTCAATGGGGCCCGTTTTGGGGATCTTTGGGGAATATGTGGGGAGCTTTCTGAAACAGTTGGATTGTAGACTTTTCAGTTGACCATGGCATATGTCTATCATATAGCATATTTGTATGTATATGATATATATATATATATTATATATATATGATATACGAATGGGACGAAATGGACGAATCCATCCATTTTCCAATAGGGATTCAGATGTCCATGATCTCTCTGGGGTGCTCAGGCCGCCACCAGGCCCGGGTGTGGCCGGAGCATTCTGGAGACTTCTAGGGCGATTTTTTGCCTTCGTAAAAGCATTACCCGTTCATCATCGTTCATCAAACGTGGTAATGGACAATCCGAGTTTTGATATGTTTTAATGGGGCTCATAGCTGCTGCTTGATGGTTTGGAACATGAATTTTATGACTTTCCATTCAGTTGGGAATTTCATAATCCCAACTGACTCATATTTTGCAGAGGGGTAGGTATACCACCAACCCGGCTGGGAAAAGCATCGAACTTCGCTGGGGTACTTTTCAGCCCACCGGCTGATTATCCGAAGGCATCCAAGAATCCAAGTCGCTCAATGGCGTTTGGGAGAAAATGCTGCGGGTCAGGGAAAAAAAGGTTTCCTTTATGTACATATCAAATAATATGTATATACACGCATATTATATATATATACATATACATTGATATCCAATGACATATATATATATATATATGTATTATTATGTATGTATGTGTGTGTTTGTACTATTCTGCATATTATAGTGATGTTCTTTTAGAGACATTTGTGCAGCCACACCAGACGGACGGTCCAGCGCGGGGCCGCAGATTTGGGGATCCTCCAGCGGTATGCGCCTGGAGTACTGGTCTTCGGTGCTGAGTACTGCGGCCCTTGCAAGGTGGAGCCGTTGCATCACTTGTGATGGATCTCCAACGTTTAAAACTCTTCACCCATTATCGTTTTTCGCTCTCCTTTGTTTCTGGCTCATCCATTTTCATACATTTTGCAATTTTTGTTCAAACTCTTTCCTGGGTATTTTTTTCTCATTCAGTCTTTCCCTTCTTGCTTTCTTTCCTCCTTTGTTGTTTTTTATTTTCTGCTTCATAGGTTCTAATTATGCTATAGTTATATGTTGCAAAGTTTTAATTATGGGTTTTAGTATCAGTTATGAAGGAAATGTGTCATCGAAGTATTGTCTTATTCTTTTCTATTTTCTTTTCTATTGAGTGGTGTTGTTCTCTTCTCTCTGTTGCTTTGTTAGATTGTTAGCTTCGGGTTGTCAGGATTGTTGAGGTTGTGATGGTGTCACTTCTGTTTTGCCGACCGGGCCGACCGGCCGCGTTGCGTTGTCTTCATCGTCTACTTCTTGGGTGCCGCCGGGGCGCTCGGATGATTGAGTCAGAGCATTGCAAAGCAAGTCTCAGAACACAATCAGCATGCACCAACTGCTTCTTTACCGCCATCATTAAGAGAAAACAGGTAGACAAAGTAGTGTGCCACCGTGGGTGTTCGTATCCTTCCTCGCAATGCCGGATGGCGTACGTGGTGGATATCCAGCTCCCATTGACCTGAATTCCTCCGACTTCTCTGAATGGATTGCGTCACAAGAGTGCACGGACAGTCTTGCAAGAGCCTTAGAGATGGCCAACTCCAAGATCCTTGAGTACACCAAGAAGAAGTGGGACTTGGAGAAGGCTCTCAAGGAGCGAGGGGCGAAAAAGGAACACCATGAGGAAGAGCAGGTCGCCCAGGAAGGGGAGAGCCCGGAGAGCCCGAAGAAAGGAGTGGGCCAGAACATTCGGAGCATCATCCAGCAAATTGAGCAGGGCACGATTGATGGGATACAACTCAGTTTCAAAAACATCACGCTGGGTGAAGCAAAGGCCTTGGCTGAGGCAATGGTGGCAAATGCGGAGAAAAGCACCATCAAGACGCTCGAGCTCTATGGCAACGAGTTCGGGGATGAGGGGGTTATGGCATTCTCCGAAGTCATCGCCAATGAGAACTCCGCTGTGGAGAAGCTCGATCTAGGCGGCTGTGACATGACAGACCTCGGAGCTTTTGCACTTGCTGAAGCTTTGAAGAAGAACAAGACAGTGAGAACGTTAAACATTAGTAGCCATACAGGCATCACTTCTCAAGGCATCGGAGCCATAGCCAAAGCTTTGGGGACCAATTCCTGCATCACCAAGCTCGATGTGAGCTCTTGTGTGCTGGATCGTGATGGGGTTTCACTTCTAGCCCAAGGCTTAAAGACAAACACGGCTCTCAAAGATATCGACTTGCGTTTCAACGAGCAGATGGGAAATGGCGCTGCAGAAATGGCATGTGCGTTGAAGCAGAACAGGTCGTTAGAAGTCTTTGACCTCTCATATAATGACATCAATGATGACATCGTGAATGAGATTGCCTTGGCATTGCAAGAGAACAAGGAGACAGCTTTGAGGACCATCGCGTTGAGAGGCAACAACATCACAGACGCCGGGGCTGAAAGGCTTGTTCAAGCTCTGAACGAAAGCAACAATCAGACGATCACGGACATTGACCTTACTACCTGCAATGTGGCATCCTGCAGTGACAAGCGTGTCAGAGTTTAACCACGACTGGCATAGTTCCCGCAGCGTCAGTGTTGAGAGTTGCCTGAGATGCCCCGAGACGGGCTGCACTACATGGCTCTAGACCAGCCCTTCAACCAGCCCTTCACTTGTTTTGATTCGAACAATTAATACTCATGTCATGATGCTGTGTTTCAGTGTGCATTACTTACCTGTTGCAAATTGTGAGGAGCCTGACTTTCCTTTTGCTGTATAGAGTGAACTTGGCACGGCGGGCCGGCGGGGCAGTCCGCGCAGTGTGAAGATTGCCACACTGAAAACCCGACTTCTTGGTTCCGTTGCGGTTCACGTGCCGGGCTGCTACCTCTCGCCTCAAGGGCTGAGAAAGAAACACTGCTCAGTCATGTCATTTGCAACTCCATTTTGAGATTTGCTTTGTGTCATGGATGCAAACAAAGTGTTGTGCCTAGGCGTTTGCCTGTCATGTGGATGTGAGAAGCAGTGACATTACCGAACTTTGCTCTGTGAAGTGAACATGTTGAAGGACTGGGATGATACAAATTAGAGTTACGGTGTTCTCACCTCCAAGTCATTGAGTACTTTAGTCCAAGTCACCGATGCCTTGAACCAGAGGGTCAATGATGTTGAATACCTCACTGACCTTGTAGAGACATCCCGAAGAGTAATCCAATCCCGATCCTTCACCCCGACTGCCCTTGACATTTGTTTTGTCATTTTTGCCCGCATTGAGGTTAAGATATCACTGATGAGTATGCCGAGGAGATGTTGGAACTTTTAAGGGTTCGGAGAAGGCTTTATGGATGGAAGTACTTGGACAGGTTAGTCCTGTTTTCACATGAGGACTTTTGAAGACTGTTTTGTAAAGAAGGCTTCTTATGAACACCATGAATGACATTTGGACTGTCAATGCGCACCCCTCTTCAGATATGTTATATTGTATATTGAACCCATCCTCACGCACACTTAATATATATAATATTATACATGTAGTTCTCGTCATGCTTTGCTTGACCTGCTTGTTCAGAAGGTTCATCATTTGCAACCGTCCGGCACTTTGAGGGATGGGAGGGTTGGGAGAGGTTTGGAAGAAATGGGGGAGCAAACCGCCAAAGCAAACCCCACAGTGACCCCAGACAAAAGGAAGTAAGAAAAAGTGCCACTGATGCAGGGAGCGAAAGCAGAAATAAGCAGACCACCACAGTTGCACAGACCTCTGCCCTACCTAGAGATATATGTAGATGACCTTCACACATTGTACAATTTTTGTTCTCTTTCCTGAGCATCTTTTTTCTCATTCATCTTCTCCTTGTTAGTCTCATTCATTCTTTCCCTTCTTGCTTTCTTTCCTTTTTTTATTTTCTGCTTCATAGGTTATAATTGTGCTATAGTTATGTTGTAAAGTTTTATTGGTTTTAGTTGCGATTAGGGTTATGAAAGAAATGTGTCATCGAAGTATTGTCATATTCTTTTCTATTGATTGGTGTTGTTCTCTTCTCTCTGTTGCTTTGTTAGTTTGGGGTTGTCAGGATTGTTGAGGTTGTGATGGTGTCACTTCTGTTTTGCCGACCGGGCCGACCGGCCGCGTTGCGTTGTCTTCATCGTCTGCTTCTTGGGTGCCGCCGGGGCGCTCGGATGATTGAGTCAGAGCATTGCAAAGCAAGTCTCAGAACACAATCGGCATGCACCAACTGCTTCTTTACCGCCATCATCAAGCAAAAAAAGTAGACAAAGTAGTGTGCCACCGAGGGTGTTCGTATCCTTCCTCCCAATGCCGGATGGCGTAGGTGGTGGATATCCAGCTCAGTCCAATACCTCCAATGTTCCCATTGACCTGAATTCCTCCGACTTCTCTGAATGGATTGCGTCACAAGAGTGCACGGACAGTCTTGCAAGAGCCTTAGAGATGGCCAACTCCAAGATCCTTGAGTACACCAAGAAGAAGTGGGACTTGGAGAAGGCTCTCAAGGAGCGAGGGGCGAAAAAGGAACACCATGAGGAAGAGCAGGTCGCCCAGGAAGGGGAGAGCCCGGAGAGCCCGAAGAAAGGAGTGGGCCAGAACATTCGGAGCATCATCCAGCAAATTGAGCAGGGCACGATTGATGGGATACAACTCAGTTTCAAAAAAATCACGCTGGATGAAGCAAAGGCCTTGGCTGAGGCAATGGTGGCAAATGCGAAGAAAAGCAGCATCAAGACTCTCGAGCTCGGTAACAACAAGTTCGGGGATGAGGGGGTTGTGGCATTCTCCAAAGTCATCGCCAATGAGAACTCCGCTGTGGAGGAGCTCAATCTAGGCAGCTGTGGCATGACAGACCTCGGAGCTTTTGCACTTGCTGAAGCTTTGAAGAAGAACGAGACAGTGAAAGAGTGAAACATTGATTGCAATAAAGGCATCACAGCTCGAGGCATCGGAGCCATAGCCAAAGCTTTGGAGACCAATTCCTGCATCACCAGGCTCTCGGTGATCAATGGTGTGCTGGATCGTGATGGGGCTTCGCATTTAGCCCAAGCCTTAAGGACGAACACGGCACTCAAAAAGATGTACTTGGATTTCAACACGAAGATGGGGACGGGCGCTGCAGACATTGCACGTGCGTTGAAGGAGAACAGGTCGTTAGAAGTCTTTGACCTCTCATATAATGACATCAATGATGACATCGTGAATGAGATTGCCTTGGCATTGCAAGAGAACAAGGAGACAGCTTTGAGGACCATCGCGTTGAGAGGCAACAACATCACAGACGCCGGGGCTGAAAGGCTTGTTCAAGCTCTGAACGAAAGCAACAATCAGACGATCACGGACATTGACCTTACTACCTGCAATGTGGCATCCTGCAGTGACAAGCGTGTCAGAGTTTAACCACGACTGGCATAGTTCCCGCAGCGTCAGTGTTGAGAGTTGCCTGAGATGCCCCGAGACGGGCTGCACTACATGGCTCTAGACCAGCCCTTCAACCAGCCCTTCACTTGTTTTGATTCGAACAATTAATACTCATGTCATGATGCTGTGTTTCAATGTGCATTACTTACCTGTTGCCAATTGTGAGGGGCATAACTTTCTTGTTGCTGTATAGAGTGAACTTGGCACAGCGGGCCGGCGGGGCAGTCCGCGCAGTGTGAAGATTGCCACACTGAAAACCCGACTTCTTAGCTCCGTTGCGGTTCACGTGCCGGGCTGCTACCTCTCGCCTGAAGGGCTGAGAAAAGAAACACTGCTCAGTCATGTCATTTGCAACTCCATTTTGAGATTTGCTTTGTGTCATGGATGCAAACAAAGTGTTGTGCCTAGGCGTTTGCCAGTCATATGGATGTGAGAAGCAGTGACATTACCGAACTTTGCTCTGTGAAGTGAACATGTTGAAGGACTGGGATGATACAAATTAGAGTTACGGTGTTCTCACCTCCAAGTCATTGAGTACTTTAGTCCAAGTCACCGATGCCTTGAACCAGAGGGTCAATGATGTTGAATACCTCACTGACCTTGTAGAGACATCCCGAAGAGTAATCCAATCCCGATCCTTCACCCCGACTGCCCTTGACATTTGTTTTGTCATTGCCCGCATTGAGGTTAAGATATCACTGATGAGTATGCCAAGGAGATGTTGGAACTTTTAAGGGGTCAATTGGAGAAGGCTTCAAGGATGGAAGTACTTGAACTTAGTCAATCCTGTTTTCAAATGAGGACTTTTGAAGACTGTTTTGTAAAGAAGGCTTCTTATGAACACTATGAATGACATTTGGACTGTCAATCCGCGCCCCTCTTCAGATATGTTATATTGTGTGAGAATCCCATGCAGTGCATTGCAACTGACTGCAGCTGACTGAACTTTGCTGTGTATGCATTCATAGTAATAGCTGGCCCAGATCACAGCCGACGCATTGCATATGTCAGCTAGTGCATGGCCCGCACGGCAAGGATGACACGCACCATCAGAGAAAGAGATCAAGCACAAATCGAGAAGTGTACATATCACTATCCAAATACTTTCACCTTGTTTTGCAACTGTCGTGAAAAGGGTTGCCGCTGATCCGTTGCCAGTCTCAGACTGGTAGCGGAGCGGTTCGCTTTGCTGCGATGGCTTCAGAAGGCAGTGGTGGTGGAAAGCCGTTCTGGAGTGACTATGAGGTCACGGTGGATCGAGACGGCATTCCCCACTACACCGGAGCATCACCAGCTCTGATGAAGGAGTACACCAGGCGAGTGAAGTTCGCTTTCCATGGCTTGGAGGGCGAAGGAAAAGACGAAGAAGCTGAAGCAGCCGACCTTTTGAAGAAGCAGATGAGGTTCGGCCGCCGCCTGATAGATGCTCTTCATGGAGAAGCATGGCGTGCTGTGGAGCACCTGGTGGTGCAACCGGAGAAGTTGAAGAAGAAGGACGGCTATGAGGAGGTCCTCAACGCTTTGGGATCAATTGAGAAAGAAGGCGTGATCCGCAAGACAGAGGCCTTCGACAAGTTCTTCGAATCAACTCGCCGAGCTCGCGGTGAAGCAATTGATGCCTACTTGCGCCGCAAGAACCAGGCCTGGAGGGATCTATGTGACTTGGATGAGACGTCAGCGATGTCAAAAGACCTGCTGTCCTACTTCGTGCTCAAGGGCTGCAACCTGAGCCGTGAAGACCGCAGATCGATCTTGCTGGCCAACAAGTCCACCTATGACCAGGCCGGGATCGAGCAGTCGCTTCGGGTGAGCTTCCATGATCTTCATGAACGTGAGAAGCAGTCTGGATGGCGAGATGATCGCAAGAAGCCCATGAAGAAGCGATACTATGCCAATGAGGTTCACGATGGAGAGTCCCCGGTTGAGGACGACGTGATGATGGTCTACTACCACAACGACTCTGAGTATGACGAGGAGGACCTGGCGGAAGAGGCCTACTACCATGGTGAAGATGATGATGCCGAAGCCTATGAACTTGGATCGGATGCTGGAGCTTCGGGTGACGATGACGTCTACCAGGCCTATGTGACCATGGAGAAGGGCCGACAAGCCTACAAAGATGCCCGGAAGAAGCTTCGGGATGTGCAGAAGAGCCGTGGCTTCTACCAGAATGGCAATTGGAGCAGCCGAGACCAGGCCAAGGAGAAGGAGAAGAGCAGGTCGCGTTGTGCGGCTTGTGGCCACATTGGCCATTGGGCAGGTGACAGCGTCTGTCCAAAGTCATCTGCAGGAGTTGGTCCGAAGAAGGGCAAGGGCAGAGGCAAGAGTCAATCGAAAGGCAAGAAGAAGTCCAAAGGTGGAGCCTATGCTGCAGCACCGTGCCCCATGCTGTTTTCCTTGGAGGATCCGGATGATGGATTTCAAGATGAAGAAGGACACAGCTTCATGGTGCACACTGGTCCCAGCGATGACGCCAATGCCAATGACATGCAGCAGGATGAGGGCCACACCTTCACTGATGACCGCCGCAAAGTCTCAGCTGGATCCTACTCAGCTGACTGGGAGACCGTGACTGAGCCGCCCATGCCTGGATCTGACCGACCTGCTGGCTCACGCCCTTTTGAGGTCTGGGCACCTGATGGTCCATGGGAGTCATCGAGCAAGGTCGCTTTGTGGAGGAAACCCAGGAGGTGATCAAGCCGACCATGCTGGCCAAGATCGAAGTGAGGGAAGTCAGCTCTTTCGCAGAGGTTCGCCCTAGCAACATGGAGCAGATGAAGGCCTATCAGTTGCAAGGTCTCTGTGAGAAATGGGGCATCCAGACAGGTGGTGCCAAGAAGGATTTGCTGATGAGGCTGGAGGATCTGTTTGCAGGTCGCGAAGTGCCGAAGAAGAAGTGCACGGTGCAGTTTGTCAAGTTGGTGGAGGAAGAGCCATCGACTTATGGATCTATGGCTGGATCTGCACCGGCGACACCACTTCGTCCTGAACCTGGCGGACAACGGCCGTGTCCCCAACGAGGCCATCATGGAGTTGCTGAGTAAAAGGTGGGCAGAATCGATCGCCGTCAATGGGCTCTTCGACTACGGCGCTTGGGGCGTCGGCAAAAGCATCAGGGCTGCGCCCAATTCTGGCGACGGATCTGGAGATTGGCAAGCCTTTGTATGGCCTGCAGTGTTGTAACTGCGGTGCGCCTATGGTTGCAAGACAGACTCGAGGAGATGGCAGCCTTTTCTTCTCGTGTGCTCAATGGCCGAACTCGGGATGCAGCTTCACCAGACCGCTGCAAGATGGGCTGGACATCATCAATGGTAGAATCCCTGATGTCCGCCACCCGAGAAGCCCTGCTCGCAGCTTGGCGGGCAACTGAGAAGTCAAGAAAGCTGCTGGCAGTCAGCGCATTTTGCGCCTACATGACTGCAGAGGAGAATTCAACAGAGCATGAACCTTGCGAACTGTTGCATGCCGACCATGATGGGTCGACCTTTGACATGGTGGCGAAGACGCACCATGAATTAGAAGATAGCAATGGTGGAGGTGAAGGCCGAATGGCTTTGGTCGACACAGCTTGCACGAGCTGTATGCATTCAAAGGCTTGGAGGATTGCATACTCCAAGACACTGCCTGAGGGGTACCAGTGCGAGAGAACCGAGCGCACCAAGCTCTTCCACTTTGCAGATGGCTCCAACACTGGGAGCACCATTCACCTGTGGAGAATTCCATTGTTCATGGGTGATCGTCCAGGTGAAGTTTTCTCAGCTGAGGTTGAAACGGGCACCACTCCTTTGCTTCTCTCCATTCCTGCCTTGATAGCCCTGGATGCTGTGATTCACATGCGGGAGAAGCGCATCAACCTGAGGTCTCTTGGAGAGAAACTAGAACCAAGCACCTGGCCATGATGGTTAGCTACAACCCCCGTTTGTGCATTGCCAAAGATGTGGAAGGGTCCCCCAAAGCAATTTCCATCAATCAAGACCTTTTCGTTTACTACAGTGAGGAGGCAAGCCTTCCAGTTTTGACTGATGAGGCAATGGTTGAAGTCCCGGTGAGCGAGGACTATGCGGCAGACTGCTCACCGCCTCAGTTTGGGGCAAGGGGCATTCGAAAAGATGACGTCACTGGTTTCCTTGGTGACCGCCGAAGTGCTGAGCTGGCCTATGCCATGAAGTCCATGAGATTGCAAGATGATAGAACATGGGCAGCTTTGAGCAAGCACTACTCCTTGGCGGAGCAGGCGGCAACTAAGGGCTTTAGCACTACTGTTTTGTTTGAGCCTTTTGGAGGCCACTTTGGAGTGACGAGGACTGCCTCAAGGGAGTTCAGTTGGACGAACTCTCAACCATTGGATCTGCTGGATGGCTATGACCTTCTATCACCTGCCGGTGAGGAGCTTCTTTTTCGAGTGCTGGACGAGCACGACCCTGTTTGTGTGCTCATTGCGTTTGACTGCAGGCTCTGGTCTTTGCTCAACAATCTATGTCGTGGAGGTGACTGGGAACATCTTCGCAAGACCATTGGCCTGAAGACTCTGCGTTTGGTGAAACGCATTTGTGAGCACCAATGGAAAAGAGGCCGATACTTTGTGGTGGAGAACCCCGCAACCAGCGTGGCTTGGAGATACCACAGAATCCTCACTCAGATTTTGGAGAAGTTTGATGGAAAGTATGTGATCTGCGATCAATGCAGGTATGGTCAACGAGATTCTGAAAGTGGAAAGCTGATCCGCAAACCAACTGGCTGGCTTTCCAATTCTGAGCCGATTTTGAACCATGTTGGGAAGAGATGTCAATGTCCTCCCGGAGAGCATCAACAAGTTTTGGGTTCAAATGCCAAGGGCTTGCGCAGTCGTCAGGCTGCATGCTACCCACCAGCTCTATGTCGAGCTATTTGCAAAGGTCTGTTACAGACCATGGAGCTGGACTATGCCGGTCTTAGTGCTCAGGGTGATTTGGCTTACGCCAACCTTTCAGAATCCGATGCCGAGGGAGAGAGCATGGAGGTTGAAGAGCCCATGGATGGTGACTATTGGATCATCGAAGGCAATGAGGTCGTCCGAGTGCATGTGATCCCACGGAGGCATTTGTTTGTCCCTTTGGCCACCACCGGGGTTCCTGTTCCGGTGAAATCCCTGGCAGAAGCGAGGTCGACAGAGGCCCACTTTGTCAATGGTGATCCTCCTGAGTATGTGATGGATGACTGGACGCAGGCCAGTGAGGCCCATGCTGAACTTCCAAGTCTATGGGTTGGCCGCGCCAGCTTCATCTTTGCCTTGCCGACACAGCCTGAAGAGCAACCAGCTCAAGCAGAGATCGAGGTGATGGCATCGCCTTCAAAGAGAGAGAACGTTTTGAGAAGGAGAAGGGCAAGAACCAGGCAGCTGCAGAGAGGTCTTTGGGTGAGAACCGAAGACAGTGATGTTGCCGAGATGATGCAACACTGCCTGGACAATTACCAAGATCAACAATGCAAAGGCTGGTCTGTCCTCAACGACCAGGAGGAGCTGTTTCGAGCTTGGAAAGCCCGAGAAGTTGGTCAAACCAAAGTTCGTTTGATTTTATACTCCACTGATGCAAGGAGGATGAGAAAGCCGCAGCCTTTCCTGTCTGCTGCGGAGGCACCAATGAGAAAGACTGTCGTGACGATGGCAAATGGGGACATTTTGTCCACCGGATGGGAAGATTGGCAGCAAGCATCACCTTCATCGCAGATACGACCTTTGCCAAACAAACCAAGGTCTTTTGTCCTAACCATGTTTGGCAGCCAGATTGACGATGAAGAGATGGAGGTTCAAGAGCTTGCGGGAGAGCAGGATCAAATTGTAGCTCGTGAAACTGAGAGACAGAGAAAATGGGATGCATTGCCAAGAGAATTGAAAATGGCTGTCCGACGTATCCACCACACGTTTCTTTAGAAAGAACCAACTGAGAATGGCAGCTCGTGAAGCCTTTGTCAAGACCGCCAACAATGAAGCACTTCGTCGAGCTGAGCTTAGAAGAGTCCGACCTACCAGAGGGCCATTCCATGTGGGCTCCTATGTCTTCTTCTACGACCAGCAAGGGACGCAAGGAAGTGCTTTGAACTGGCGCGGTGTTGCGCGAGTGGTGGGCCATGAAGGTTCACGAATTGTGTGGTTGTCGCACCGTGGCATTCTGATTGCAGCCTCCCCTGAACATCTCAGTCATGCCAATGAGGAGGAGATCCAAGGATGGATGGTGACGCAAAACGAGCGGGAGCTCATAGATGCCACACCTGCAGCTGGTGGAGCCGGTTTTCTTGACCTCAGACAGAGGCCTACACCACCAGCAGAAGGTTTTCCTGAAGAGCCACTGCCTGCACAGGAAGCTTTGGAAGCTCCAAAAGACGGCGCTGCAAACGCCTGCGCTGATGCAGAAATGTCAGAAGGCTATGAGCCTACGGAGGCAGTGGAGTCAGCGGATGAGAACATTCCGAAGGAAGGTGGTTCAGTGAAGGCTGAGGATCTGTCTGCAAGCTCAACATCGATGGCTCGTATCCAATTGGAATCAGAGAGAGAGCAAAAGAGAGAAATCCGTTCAGGCCTTTTCTTTGAGAAGAAGCAGAAGGAGAGAAAAGCTTTGAAGGAGCAACAGAAAGTGCAGCGCCTGAAGGATTTGGAAAGAGAGGCTGTCACAACTCCCGTCTTTCCAGAGTTTGACCCTGACCTGGATGATTTCCGATCTCCGGCAACAACTCGTCCTGCACCTATTCCAGAAGAACCAGAGATGGATGAGGCAGTTGAGAGAGAAACTAAACGGAGGAGACAGGGTGGAACGGAAGATGGAAGTGGCCAAGCTTCTTTAGCTTTTGCTTTCCATGCCTATGACTCTGACGAGTTCCTCTTGAGCCAGGCAAAGAATGAGTACGGCCTGAAGGTCGAGTACTACCAAAAGCATGGCTTGGAGATGGAGGAATTTTTGTTTGGTGTTGAAAGAAATGATTTCAATAGCCAGTATGGTGAACTTTGCAGCGAAGCACAAGCTCGAGCCTATGCAGCTGCACCCACCGATGCAGCGACTGGTCCAAAGAAACGTGGTAGGAAAGAGCTGAGATTGAACGAAATCACCGAAGAGCTGGCTGCACAGTTCACTGGTCCAGGTGGTTCTGATGAGAAGGAATGGACTGCTTGGATGGAAAAAGGGGCTTGTGATGTCCTATCTGTAGCTGAAAGCGATGAGATCTTTCGAGCCAAAAGCCAGTGCATCATACCAACGAGATGGGTCCGCACCAACAAAAATGATGGCTTGGAAGGGAAACCTTTTCTCCCGAAAAGCCGACTTGTGGTGCAAGGTTTCAAGGACAAGTCCCTGGGTTCTTTCAGAAGGGACGCACCTACGGCATCGTCCTTGGCCGAATCCTTGTGTTTGGTGCTGGCAGCTGTTTTTGGTTTCGTTTTGCTTTCCAAGGATGTCAAGAACGCCTATTTTTCTGGACATGAAATTGGCCGTGAGCTGTATTTGCAACAGCCACGTGGTGGTCTCCCCGGCCTCAAGAAAGGCCAACTGCTGCGAGCCCGGAAGGCGATTTATGGCTTCTCCGAGGCAGCTCGTTTATTCTGGCTAGCTCTCAGAGAGCACCTGCTGTCTGACAATTGGGTTGAGTCTAGATTGGAACCCGCTCTATTTTATTTGCGGGATGCTGAAGGCCAACTGGCTGGTGTGTTGGTCACCCATGTGGATGACATCGAAGCCGGAGTCCGAAAGGACATGGTGGAGAAAGCTTTTGAGAACCCAAGCAAGGCTTTGGAGTTTGCTACCAGCAACCAAGGTAGTTTCATTTTTCGAGGTCGAGAGATTTCTCAAGCTCAAGGTGGGCATGTGGATGTCAGCATGACCAACTATGCCAAAGCCATGAAACCAGTCAAGATAGCTCGAGAAAGGCGACAGCAGCTGGAAAGTCGTTTGACCATGGAGGAGAAGAATCAAATGATGAGCGCAGCGGGTGAGTTGGGTTGGATCACCAGGCAGCTTCGCAGTGACCTTTCCTATGAAAATGGATGCATCCAGAGATGCAAAGGAGATCCTTGTGGATTTGGCAAGGGTCCGTCAAGCCATTGCAGCTGCAAGGGGAGCTGCCACCTTTAGACAAAGGTATTGGAATGATGTGAGCCTGGAGGATGCAGTTTTGGTTCACATGGCCGATGCTGGTCACGCCAATGGTGTTCCTGAAAGTGCCGACATCAAGCGTTACCAGTCCATTGGTGGTTATTTCCTTTTTCTGGCCAACAAGGAGATTTTGGAAGGAAAGCCTGCGAGAGCCAACCTTTTAGCATTTCATTCTTCACAGACCAAAAGAGTTTGCAGGTCCACACTAGCGGCAGAAGCTTCACATCTTTCCGAAGCTGTGGAGGCCGGTGACTGGCTCGCAGTGCTGTTGGATGAAGCACTACATGGTCGTCAAGATCTCAAGCATTGGGATCAACTTGTGGAGAAACGAAAACGGGTCTATGTCACTGATTCCCAGTCTGTTTTCGACTATCTGCATCGAGATAGCACCTCTACCAGCAGCGACAAACGGATGGCGATTGAAGGAGCACTCTTACGAGAGACCGTTCGTCGTCCTGGTGCTGAAGTCAAATGGATCGATGGGGAACAGAATCTGGCAGATATCCTCACGAAGCCTCGTGTGGACAGGGCCCTGCTCATGGAGTACATGAGAACTGGAATGCTGAGTTTGGTTCAAACAGAAGTCAACCGAAAGTCCAAGGAGAAGAAGAGAGCACAAAGATCTGCTCGCAAGAAGGTGGTGAAGTCAGATGAGAAGAAATTGAAAGAGAAGGACGCTCGTATTGAGCGAGTGGTTGCCGAGATGCGGGAGCGTGCTGAGATTGAGTCAGAAGCAGAAGTTCAGCCAAAAGAAAAATTATGCGTGTGAGAATCCCATGCAGTGCATTGCAAATAGCTGGCCCAGATCACAGCCGACGCATTGCATATGTCAGCTAGTGCATGGCCCGCACGGCAAGGATGACACGCACCATCAGAGAAAGAGATCAAGCACAAATCGAGAAGTGTACATATCACTATCCAAATACTTTCACCTTGTTTTGCAACTGTCGTGAGAAGGGTTGCCGCTGATCCGTTGCCAGTCTCAGATATTGATTTATATTGTACTCGTATATTGAACCCATCCACATATATATATATATTATACATGTAGTAGTTATCGTCATGCTTTGCTTGGCCTGCTTGTTCAGAAGGTTCATCATTTGAAACCGTCTGGTACTTTGAGGGATGGGAGGGTTGGGAGAGGTTTGGGGGAGCGATGCTCATCGCCAAAGCAAACCCCACAGTGATCCCAGACAAAATGAAGTAAGAAAAAGTGCCACTGATGCGGGGAGCGAAAGCAGAAATAAGCAGACCACAGTGGCGACCTCTGCTCTAGAGATATGTCGTGGATGGATGAGATACGACACTTTTTGTTTTTTTTTGGTTCTCAAAATTGTTACTGTTGGATTGGACGATGAGAACAGACTTTGGGGTTGGATTTCTTGGCAGTCGCCAGTGGAGGATTTGACAAACACACCATGAAGCAGAACCAAACACCAACCCAATACCAAATCCAAATACCACCCCAAAATCACTTAAAGAAATGACGCCCTATAAAATAAAGTAAATTATGCCCTGCTTTATGGTCTGCGATGGCACCCATCAAGAAGTCAATGATGATGTCTTTGACGCAATGGTTCAAGCATTGAATACTGAAACTCCAACATCAACTCCAAAAGCAAACATGTCAAGAAGAAATGCTGCTGGAAGTTACAAAAAAAAACCACTGGGTGAAAACTATTTCAGAACATATTATCAGCAAAATCTATCAACACCCACAACCTGCCCTGGCTGTGGAAAGACAATATCAAGCAAATCCAACCTTTCAAAACATAGAAAGATTAGAATTTGTAAGAAACACAGTGCCATCGTTGCTGAAAACATATCAACATTAATTAAGGACTGTTATTGTTGATAATGTTTATCCGTTCATTTTCAGCCCAACTCCCAAAAATCACAATCACCAAACCTACCCCAAAAACTACTTAAAGAAATATTACCTCATAATAATATAGGATTAAGTTATATGGCGTCAGATATAGACCAGTCAGCACTAGATTGCCTACTAACCTCCCAACGGGCGGAAGTAGTCAATAAAAACCGTAAGATAGGTGAGAAGTCCTACAAGTATGAGAGGTCAAAACCTTTGTCGGGAAAGTTGATGAAGGAACTTAAAGAAAGTCAGACAAACAATGAATTATAAACTATATCACATAAGAAAGACAAAAAAGTGACAAATGGATTAACATAAACAAGAACAAGAAACGTACAGGAGTTAGACAACCAACCGCATCAAACACTGTAGAAAAAACCAGCGCTTTTAAGAGTGATGCCAACTCCGTTTCAATTACAAACATTGATTTGAGAGGCATTCAAGCGTTGGAACTACTGATTGAACAAGAAAACAGGATTGAACAATTTTTGAATGAAAAGAACGGTATGAAAATCATTGTTGATATAATAGGTGTCTTCAGAAAAAAAGGCTACTGATGACTTAACAAAGCAACACATCAAAAGTAGAAGGTATGGAATCACCAGCGCAGAAGACATACCTTATGGTATGTTCCAAATGGCAACGGACATTGAATTTCAAATTGAAAAGATGGAACTGAGTGTCAGTGGATTAGTGTTATTAGAAATTGAACAGATAAGAATAAACTATGACAAATACAATCCAACAAGAGGTGGTTCATTCATTGAAATGGATACAAGACAAGAAAGTGTGTATCACCTTTCAGAATGAAGACAATAAATGTTTCAAGTATTGTATCAATGCGGGGCTTATACAATTCATGAGAAGGGACACGTCTGTAGGATGAACCATTATAAGAAAATTGATGAAACTCTCAACTGGGATAGTGTAAACTTTCCATCATCAAATATTGACATAGATATATTTGAAGAAAACAACCAAGGTTTATCATCATTCAATGTATTTTTTTTTACAAAAGTAAAGAACTAGAAAATCAAGACAGCATTTATTATATAGAAACACCAAAGTTACAAAAGCAACTTATCACATAAACCTACTCAAAATTGAAGATGAAGAACGTGATAATTTCCATTATGTATCTATCAAAGGTTATAGCAGGCTTAGGGGAAGACAAATTACCAAAAGACAAAGAAATCTCATACCTGTAATCATTGCCTGAACCCTTTCAGAGATGAAAAGACATTGAAAGCACACATTGAACAAGGTTGAATGGCAGTTGAAGGACAACAAATCAAAATGCCAAGTGAAGATAAAACAATGAATTTCAACATTCCTTTCAAAAAATGAAAAGCACCCTTTGTCATTTATGCCGGCTTTGAATGTTTGACCCAGAAATATGGAACGGTCAGCACTAACACATAAGACTGACAAATACCAACATCATAGACCCTCTGGTTTTATGATTAATGTAGTGAATGCCATTGACAATTCAACCGAAGAGTTTTTAACAGTGGTGAGGATTATATGGATGTTTTTATAATAAAAATATAATTGAAATTTTTCGATGAAAGTATGGAGAAGATGAAGGAGAACAAAGAACCCATAAAAACAGCAAAAGACATAGAACATTTCAATAATGCCACTCATTGCTTCATTTGCGGTGAAAAGTTTGAAAAGGATTATGTGAGATGCTATGACCACTGCCACTTTACAGGCAAGTTTGATGGGGATGCACCCATCAAAAGTGTAACGTAGATTACAGTATGAGAAGGTTTAAAGTGCCGGTCTTCCTTCATAATCTTAAAACTATGGTGCTCATTTGATCATAGAGAAGGCACATGATCTAGGAGAAGACAGAAGGATAGATGTAATAGCGCAGAACTCAGAAAAGTTTGTAACATTTGCATTTCAACGGCTGAGTTTCAAGGACAGTTTTGCCTTCTTAACTGCTTCATTGGATAAACTAGTAGGTTTAACTACATATGAAGATTACACCCCTAAGAAAGCAAAAGAACATCTAAAATCACAGAAGGATCGGGACAAGAACTTTTAAGTTTAGTAAGAGAAACATAGAGAAACCCCTATGTAAATGACATAGATGATCTAGATTTGACTGATAAAGGGGTTTATCCTTACGACTTTGATGAATTTGAGAGATTTAATGAACAACAACTGCCACCTAAATAAAGAAGGATTTTATGGACAACTCACTGCCGGAAGCCAAGGTTTAACCGTTTAACCATCCCGAGATGAGGTGTTCCGAATCTGACCCTTAAGCCAACGAGTTGGGAGTTTTGGTATGTTTTGGTGACTTTGGCATTTTTTTCCAGGAAGTGTCCTGTATGATCATTTACATTCATCTATCATCACTTGTCGCTAAAGCCGTAAAAGCGAAAAACCGTAAATGATGTGTGGAAGCGAAGGAAACCAAAGTAGAACCGTAAATGCGTAAAGGCGTAATGTATCAATGTAGAGCGTGAGGAGGGAGGCGGTAAAACCGTAAAACGGTAAATTCGTAAAGTTGTATCATGATACTACGAGATTAAAATTTACAGATTTACCGATTTACCGAATTTACCTTTGCCCGGACACAGCAACTTTACCCAATTTACCATGGCCCGAAGAGGGGCGAAATTTACCAATTTACCGATTTACCAAATTTACCATTGCCCCGAGACCGTTCTCTCCTTAGCATCATGCCTTACACAGTGACGGCTTAGGTCGAACCCAAAGAAAAATCTACAGCCGCAGATAAATCAGGTAGCCACAGGATCCATACAACTCTAGCCTAGGCATGGATGCCGGCCACTATGTCACTATGCTGCCATGGCGCCCCCCATTTTTTTCGGCCAGGTCTTCTGCAAGCGGCTGAAAGGTTTGGACCTCGAGGAGGGAAAGCATTGGCACTACGTCGATGCGGAAGACTTCAGCCCCAATGGTGGTGCTGTGCGGGTCTGAGTTTGTTGCTGGCGCCAGTTGGAAAGGCATGGCCATTGCCATGGCCATCGCCATTGCCATGGCCATTGCCATGGCCATTGCCATGGCATTTTTTGGGGAAAATTTAGGGGGACACCTCCGAATTGATCAGATTTGATGGCTAATTATCATCATTTTCGAAGATTTTCGAAGGGATACCCCACATATTGCTATGACGTTTTGTCAACGAATGATGAGTATTGCAAGACGAATGGGTGCGAAAGGAACATTCGGATTCTACTTGCGGAGAAGAGTCATAGACATTTAATTGAACATAATTGAACAGCATAAAGCCCGTAAAAATTGAACACAGAAGCCCAAAGCACTTCCAAATCTGCTAGAGGTTGTTAGATTTTCGATGGTATCCTCCAATGAAAATTGGTAATGGACACTTCCCAATGGATGATATGATATAATATGGTACCAATCAAAGCTCCATTTTAGTTTGGGTTCCCAGCCTGTTTGATACCCAAGGGCCAAGGGTTTTCGTAGCTGAAACCTGGTGGTGCCTAGGAGCTCCTTGATGTCGTTGGGATTCCCTTCGCTCCGCTGCCCCTCTTGGCTGTGCTGAACTCGAAGGGCGAACGAAGCTTGTTGCGCGCCGGCCAGGTTCCGAACATTCGGTGTGGGTCAAAACCTATTATCAATGGCCATTTCAGGAACCTAAATCCGAGGTACCTACCATATGTAAGGCCTATATAAGGCCTATGTAAGGGAATATCCCCAGAAAATATGGTCTTATATGGTACAGTACCTCCATTTTAGGATCCTGAAATTCCCATTGATATTATGGCCAATTTTAGTGGGATGAACATCCTTTTACCAGCTATTTTAGGGTTCACTAGGCACCAGGTTTTTGACCCATATAGTTCCAAATCTCAGGCTTGAAATTGTGGCCACTCCAGTCCCTCCCACAGTTGATTCATGTTGGTTCCATGTGAGGAGTAGTGAGTTATATAGTCCCATCACCTCAATATTAAACACCCCAATTTATGGTCCCAATTATGTGGCAATTCCCTACTAAACCATGGTTTCTAAGGGGTGTTTAATATTATGGGGAAGGGATTATGGGTGCGGCTTCCGAGACCTGCACAGGAGCTGCTTCAAGCAGGCAACACGGAGTTGAGATCCTGGTTTGATGGCAGCTACAGCACGCCCGAAAAGACACGTCCTGCGGTCTGCTACTGGCACCCTGTCCGTGATGCCAGAACAAAAGCCCTTCCAAGGTGAACATTTGAAGGGATTTATTTTTCAGATTATGGTAAGGTTTCAAGATGATTTTGGAGCATGTTCGAACTTACGTAATGAAGTAAACCCAATGAGAAACCATCCCCATCATATGAGTACACCGTATGTACACCGGATACCCAATTTCGTGGACCTCTATTGGTGGGATGCTTAACATGGCATGTACCAAATTAAACCTTGGTCTTCAAATCACTTATGATGGATTGTCATAGATTATGGCATTGGCTTTGTTGCATTATATAGTACAATGTTATTCCATGGGTGGCGACATAGAATGTTATACTTTGTCGCATTTACGTGTTATATAGTACGCGTATTATATAGTATAGAGATCAAAATATGGGTAGCTTATTATTGCTTTACTACCGTCGCTGGGCACTGTTTGGGGATTTCACATATATAAATATCCGATTAAATATCCATTGTCTTTCAATCAAACTTGGGATATCTTCGGATGATTGGTTGCGATAGCCAATATACCCTCTGGTAAATTAACATAGACCCTGAAAATCACCCAGTTTTAGTGGAAACTAATCTTCCAAATCCTATCTGCCAGGGTCTATGTTAATTTACAGGAGGGTAATATAGTTAATGTTTTTGTGATGGGTTAAAAGCATACCATCCAGCTAGGTGTCGGACCCCCCAACAAATTCCGAGCTCTACGTGCATCCGCTGCGTCCCCACCGCTGACCACTGATCGGCTCAGGCATAGGTTTCTAAAACACCCAGTTTTCGGGGCAGAAGTGGGCCAGAAGTCGGCCCAAGACATCTTTTGGGTAAGCATACATCCAAAAACAAAAATATTTCAATAGATATGTGTATAAACAATATCTTAACTATATATGCCCAAGATTTTTCATGATCCTACTGATCCTTCAATTTTTGTTTCAAGATTTGTTCCCCATCCAGCCCCAGCCCCAGAGCTCGATGACCCTGAAAAGCGTCCGCGCGTGTGGAGCCCAGAGCTGTGGGAGGAGATTTGGGAGAAAATGGTGGTTTGATATTAATATTTTTCTGTGGTTAATAGTGGTTAATCATATATGATTATTATATATATATGTGATTACGAGGATGATTATCATATATAATTACAATATACCCTCCAGTAAATTAACATAGACCCTGGTAGATAGGGGTTGGAAGATTAGTTTCCTCTAAAAATTGGTGATTTTCAGGGTCAAACTGTTAATTTACTGGAGGGTAATAAAATGTGGGGTCAAACCACATTTTCATGATTTGGGATTAAGAACATGAATGAACATGATGTTAAATGTGGGCAACCATAGATTAATAAACCATTGACCATGGTTTATTATTCTAGGGTGCCCCCCAAAGAGTGATAATCCCAAGTAAACAGCCGCCAGGAGTTCGGACGAGTTTCTGCCGAGTCAACCAGGGGTGGTTAACATCCCGCTGATTATCAAACATATATATATATATAAACACTGCTTGACAACAATTATATTGATAATGATAATATATATATATAATATATTTATATTGTTTATATTGAAACATAATATATATATATATTCTTTGAACACAATTATTTATTTATATATATATATATATAAACGCTGCTTGTTATTCGGAGTTTTCAGAAACATCAGAAAAATGATGGGTATAGGGCGTGAAAAAACATATTTGATACCGTAAAGAGTGCTGTTTAATATGAACGGGGCATGGGATTTTCCATTCTAATCCCATTATGTTCCATTTGTTCCATTGAATCACCATTATAAGGAACACATCAGTATATTCCCACTAATGGTGATAGTATGTTCCATGTGTGTTCCATTGAATCACCATTTCATTCTGATAACCATGAAAATCCATGAAATATCCCATCAAATCAGTATATTCCTACTAATATTCCACTGGAAAAAATCCACTAATATTCCAGTGGTATATGTCCACTAATATTCCACTACTGGTTGGTGGTTGGAACATTTTCTATGTTCCATTTCATATATGGGATAATCCTTCCCATTAATATTTTTCACGATGGTTAAAACCACCAACCAGACTACTATTCCAACAAATGGAATGGCTTGATTTGACGTTGAAGCGTTGCGCCAGGTAAAAGCGCCATTTTTCTATGGGAGGTTTGGCGGTGCTGCAGCCCTTGCCGCTCGACAGATGGAACACTTGGTGGGTCTGTGGATCTACAGTACCACCCAAAAAGTGATGAACAGTGAATCTTCACTGCTCTAATGGTGATTTACTTGTCTGTTTTTATTTTTGGATGACTTTATGAATGGTGGCTTTTCCAAAACCATTTCGGTATATATATATATATACTATACATATATGAATAGCACATGTATGTATATGTATATGTATACACATACGCACACACACAAAACTTGCTCTAGCGTAGCAACTTAAATCTCTTGCCACTGATTACCTGTATTGTGGCCTTGGCAGGCAATTATTACCGCAATTTGCATACTAGCAATGAATGCAACAGATAGTCAGATAATGAGAAATGAACATGTACTCTTTCAGAATTTCAGCTATGTTTGAGGCCTGAATGTTTTGTGGTACTTTTGCACTTGAGGAGTCATATGACCAATTCCAGAAACCGCATGCGTCTATGACATGTTGTGACCCGTGGTGTTTACTATTGCTAATTGCATCTAATTGAACGATCCCAAGGGAAAGCATCAATTGGTTCTGAACTTCAGGTAGTGAAAGTGGAGATTGGACCGCAGTAAAATGGGAAAGTCATTCTTGCCTTATTATATTACCTTCAAGCAGTTCAACATCGGATAGTAGAGGTTCACTTGGGGGCTGATTCCAAGCATGTGATTGCTTTGATGATGACTCCCAAGTTTCAGAACCGGCAAGTATTTCACATCTCACCCAGTTTCACCCCATAAATGGGTGATTTAAAACAAAAACACATTTTAAGAAAACACATAAAACAAATCAGTAAGTTGAAAAAAATCACCCCATAAATGGGTGATCCCATTTTTTTCCACCAACCGTTGGCAGATCCAAAAAGTTTCAACGCTGGACAGCTGGACCTCAGGCGCAGTTATTGGGTTCCTGCTCCCCTGGTGCTTCCTCCCAGTCCTCCTTTGCCGCTGGCCTCGGTTTCAGTTGCCAACAGAGGTTTCAAAGTTGGGGAAAGAAATGGGGGGGTTCCAAATGTAATTATATAGTGTATGTAGATGTATATAATAATATAGTATAGGTACATCCGGAACATCATATAGTACTCGTGTACTAAAATATATGAAACCAGTATTTTTGGAAACATTTATATAGTATCCATACGTAGGTATATCTTATGTCAGTTTGAAAGGTTTCAAATGACAAGTTGTTTTTTTCCCTACAACCAAACGTGGTATAGTACCTATATATAAAGATAGTACCTATGCTATCAAGTCATGGATGGCTATGAGCAGCTGCTAGTTAGCTCTGTTGGTTGATGATCCGTAAGGGGAAATCCATCCTAGAGGGGTTTTGAACACTCCTGGCTTGGTACAGAAATGGAGGTCATATGCCATAAACCTACCAAAACTTGGGGATGGTTTCTGCAGTTTCAATCCCACAGAATTATAGTTATACCCCACATCCATTGGTTAAATGTTTAATCCTCCGGTTTATGGTTGAGTTCTCATTTTCTCCATGAAGATGCAATTTTAGGGCATATGCGGCATATCCACATGAAAATGACATACCCTCTGGTAATTTAACATAGCGATTGAAAATGGTGATTTATAGCTGACTTATCCATTGAACATGGTGATTTTCCAGAGTTTTTGGTATGTTTACCAGAGGGTACCCTCTGGTGAACTAACATAGCAATGGAAAATCACCATTTTTCATGGGAAAATCCACTATAAATGATCATTTTCAATTGCTATGTTAGTTCACCAGAGGGTACCCTCTTAGACGAGAAGAGAAGCTTTTGCTTCTACAAACGCCGTTGTGTCAAGTTACCGTTCTTCTTTCCAGACACTTACAAGGTGGGACAAATCCCAATTTTTGAAGTTGGTCGATAAACACCATCAACGGAAATATAGCCTCTGGTGAATTGACTATATATGGTTACTATATGTTACTATATATGGTAAATAAATTGACATAAACCCTACAAATGACATTTTTTTTTCTGGAAACTTATCTTCCAACCCCGATGACTGGGAGGGTCTATGTTCATTTACTGGAGGGTATGTACCATAAACATCCATAAACCCCTAGTTAATGGAGCATATCGGAGTTATAAACAAACTTTGCTATCTAGGGGGGCCCAGATGGCAACTTCCTTGCCCGTAAAATGGCTGGTTGAAGGCGTTCCTCGTAGGCATCGCCAGTCGTTCTAACATCCTCATTATTTGGTTCGGATTTTTCGGACCAGTTACACCACTTTTGGGCTCAACATCAACCATGAAAATAGATCACAGTTGATGTTTTTTCCCCTTTTTCAAATTTCTCCCGTTGCATTTTCTTATTTTTGTCAGCCATTTTTCCCACAATTTTTCCAGGGGTGTTCCAACTAGGTCAATTATAGCCACAAGGGAGGTAAATTGATCATTTACCTCTATATTTAAAACCCTTTTTTTGGTATCAATTTACCAGCTATTTTGATCTATTTTGGGGTTCACTAGGTACATCTAGGATTTTACCAGCTATTTTTGTGTTGGTTCCCTAGGTACATCTAGGTACCTATGGCTGGTTGGTGGTTTGGAACATTTTATATTTTCCATAAATATATGGGATGTCATCCTTCCCATTGACGAACTCATATTTGTCAAGATGGTTAAAACCACCAACCAGATGGGTTTGGATCCAGAGCCATACCCAAGTGACTCGTCTCGCGAGGTCCCCCAGTCCCATCAGCTTCCGAAGCCTACGCTGTGCAGATGCCACCGTGGGCGTTGGCGTTGCCGGGGCCGGGGCCCTGGAGTTTGGATTGGGATATGGTTTTTTTTTGGGAGATCTCTAAAAATCAATG